ATATATATATATATATATATATATATATATATACATATATATATAAAATAGATACACATCTTTTTCACATTTTTATGCTACTATTACCAAATATAAAGTACAGATGACCTTTAGTTTTAGAAAGATAATTATGCAACTTTAATTATTATCTCTCTGGAAAGTAAAGAATAAAATATAATATATAAACCGTAAGAAAAATGAGTAATAAATATAATGCATATTAAATGGAAAAGTTTTCAGAGAAGGAAATTTTAGTCGTGTTGAGCATTTTCTTCTCTTGAATGTTCACCATAAGACATTGTACGTCAGCTGACTCTACTACGATGCATTACGACGAACGAGCGAACAAAGACTGGCATCGTTACGGTGGATGACTCGACCTGTTTCTGCACAATCAAGTGAAAAGAGCAAAAATACAATCCGAGTTTTTTTTATGGATATCTACGTTTTAAAAAGCATTTTGAGTTTATTATCTTTAATGTTTTTTTCTATAAGAAGCAGAAATTTATATAATAAGGTTTAATTCACCATAACGATGTATAATATTTTTGTTTTATTAGAATATTTAATTAATTACAGAATAAGAATACATTTATGATATCATAAGCAAATTCTTATCTATTGTAATAAATTAAAATTAAATACAGATGGTATATAAATCAAAAGCAAATACAGATAATATGTTATAATAATTAAATGCAACATTTCAAGTTAAAATAATATCCGATTATCAATGTGAATCACATTCTTGATTTTTATATGACTGCTCGGCATAATAAAGAGATCTATTTTTGAAAAGAGCACCAACGAATCAAGCGTGTGTTTCACGCACGCTTCTCGTGGGAAACAGCTTCTTTGTGTTCAACGCCGCTTCGTAGTATAACTGCGTGTATTCTCTGTTTACTGCAATTCTGCCACTATCATATCACATAAAAATTCTCTTTAATTAAATTATTTTAAGAGTATATAGAGTATATATACTGTATAGTTATTTGTTAACATGTAATAACATTTCGAAAAAATTGTCTAATATTGTGAGCTTATTTTATGTTAATTTAAAATTATTTTAATGTTAAATAGTAATATGATTTTATTTTCAAAAAGAATATCTTAAACAGAAATAATTAGAAATGTATAAATAATTAAATATCTTTAAATAATTAGGAATCTATAAAAAAAAGGTATATTTCTAATAGTGCAGAGATGTTATAAAAATATATACTTTCTTCATCATCGCTATTTGAATTTTTATTTCAGATTTCCATGATATTGGCGTAATCTTTAAAACTTAATGCAAACATTATAGCATTTTATTTAGTTAACATGTATATTATAATTATAGACTTTTCAATTTATGCAAAAGGATCAATTTAATTTAATTTATTAGTCAGATAATATCTATGGTTATCTAAGCGCGTAAATTCTTTATCAAAGGGCTTATTTTATCACTTTAAATATTTTTTATTTCAAAGTAGGTCAAGTGATATAAGAACTCTCAAGTCTATATCCAACTATCTCTATCCATCGCTAATAGAAAGCGTTCCAAAAGTGATGAGGAAGAAGTTGTCTATAATGCTTACTCTATGTCACAAAATATATCAGTTTCCAAGAAGATCTGATACACCCTTGTAAATAAGTAACTGGAAAAGCAATATATCGTTTTATGGAAATTATTCAAACGGTTTTAGCAGAAACAGTTAAATCGTTAATATTATTAAATGTTGTTATTAGATATTGTTTTTGTTATGTTTAATTGACGAAAAATGATCATGATATTTGCAAAAAATCCTTAAATTGTTAATATTATGCTGTAAATACATTATGATGGCAATAAAGAATAATTAATTACGTATTAATCATTACATGTAAAGTATTTCATATCATGTCATATATGTATATTGAACTTTACATATAATGGTTAACACGTAATTAATTATTTTTTATTACCATAATTAATGTATTTGCGTCATAATATTTATCGTTAACAATTTTAAAGATTTTTTGCCAATATCATGATCATTTCTCATCAATTAAATATAGCCACTGTAACAAAAACAATACTTAATGATCGTAAAGATTGAATTCTTTTTGCTACGTATATAACAATATTAATGTGTAATTTTTTTATCAAGTTTTTATATCGGTTTTTTGTTGACAAAGATATCAAATACTCGAAATCAATTAAAAGACAATAGTAATTATAATTGATAAAAAAAAAAGAGTATTTAACTAACTAAAGCTCTAATACTGTAGCAATATTCGAATATTATATTTTTTATTTAATTTGATGTAAATTTTTATTCATGATTTGATTTATAATTTTAACAAAATGTTAATTAAAGGCCAAATACCAATATATCACTTTCAAGAACAAATAAAGCCCAATCTCAGATTATTAATGTCATGGAAATATAAATCGATTGCAAATATTAGAACAACCCGTTATTGATAACATCGAAACAAGTTTATGTTTATAGACCACATACTGGATATGGCAATATGATATTTTCGCTTAGATTAAGTCAATTATTATTCATATATTAGCAAATATTTTGATATCTTGCACCTTCGCCATAATTATCGCAACAGTTTGCATAACGTAATACATAATATGCTTCCTATAATTTTATGATTAAGATACAAATTGCTCAAATTTTTTGTAATACAAGATTGAAGTGAAATAAGTAACTAATAATTATTAACTAAAATTAGGTATAGCATAAATGTTTTTATGGTCTTGTCACAAATAAATTGATGAAAATGAATTTGAAGCATATTGCTGAATTTTACCAAGCAAGAAATTAAAAAAAAATTAATTATTTTTCATACGAATTCTAATAATTTTGATTATGTCAGTTTTTTTAATTTAAAAAATTCTGAGTTTACAAATTTGAACATGATTGATATTTTTGCGTTTATCTAAATCATAATATTAGTTTCAATAATAACGTTTTTAATAACGTGATAATCATTTGTTATCAACTTGAGAAAATCAGATGACGCGAGCTTAGAAAAGTCAACAAAGTGATTATCATCGCGAGAAACAGAGTCCAAGCCCATTTTAATGCACATATCTATTCCATTATCGTCACTTGTTTGTTGTTGCCACAGAGAAATCACGTGATTACGGATTGTATAAATGATTTCACACATCAAACTGATAAACACTTATAATTTATGCAGAAATAGCTTCTATGCATTTAAAACAAACAGATCCGAGCTATAAAAGATAAATTTTCTCTAATGACTAAAAGAGTAAAATAATTTGAACAAAATTACTATACTAACTTAATTGTTACCGTACTAATTTAATTAATGTTATATATCAGATAATTCCTATTAATAATTATTTAAATATTATCAAGAAAAATAGATAAAAATATGTTTTAGTGAATTTATTGACTTTTTTATCTATGCATTCTGTCAGACGTATTGAATTTAAGTTTATCGGAGAGAACTATCGAGACCTTTCAATGACCGTGAAAAATTGATTCTTTGAAAAAATGATGAATAATATTTCCATTTATATATTTTTAGTAAAATTAAAAAATTTTATTTTTCATGTTATTTTTAACATAAGAAAATATAAAAACCAAAAACGTCATCTGCACGTCATTAAAAAATCCTACGTATGA